TTTCTTGTGTGACATCAAATTGTTAGGAGGATTTCAGATGAATTATCTTGCTAGTTCTTGCTCCATATATTGAGGGAATTTTCACATTTTCTTTGACAGTTTAAACTTTTGAATCATATATTGAGAGAATTATCACATTTTCCTTGACAGTTTAAACTTTTAAATGAATTGATGGCTGATGATTTAATATGGTGTCAGAATAGACCAATTATAGAGGAAAATCCGACTATACTTGAGGTGGCTTATTGAGGATATATGTAAATAACATATTTATCTGATAAGTTTGACTTATGTTGTGATTCACTACAAGAATTTACACATTTGGCGACCACTTTTGCCGACTAAAAAAATTTTGGTCGCAAAAAAATGACATTTGGCGACCAAATATTAATTAGTCGCGAATGATCATTATTTTTGGCGACCAAATATTATTGGTCGCAGAAGGTTATAATTTGGCGACTAAAAAATGAGTTAGTCGCAGAAAGTGGTATGCTTTTGCCGACCAACTACAAATTTGGTCGCGGAAGGTCACATATTTTTTAGCGACCAAAAATTTGGTCGCCAAAAACTTATTTTCAGCAACCAAAAAAAATTAGTCCCCAAATTAGTATTTTTAGCGACTAATATGTTAGTCGCCGTTGATTGAGATTTGGCGACTAAAAAAATTAGTCGTTATATATTTGAGATTTTGCGACAAGAAATGAATTTAGTCGTTAAAGGCGAAATTTTTTTAGTGGGAAATCTCGCGCCCACCCCTGTTCTCTGTTTACAATTACACACAACATTTTGTTCAAATTCTCCTCCATCGCCAAACCTCACCCCATCGTAACAGATCGCCACATCTACATCATCGATGATCCTCCTCCTTCTCCTCTGCCTGTGCCTCCGCCGAATCCGAGAAGATCGTCGAGATCTGAATCAGATTTGAGTCCTAGGCCGAGATCTGACCGTCGTGAGCGATCCACAGCGACACAATGGCTTCCAAATCCTACAAGAAGATCATCGATATCTACGACGACCTCATCCTTCAGGTACATACACTACCCCTCCTTCTATTCCATGATTGATCTCTCTTCTTATCAAACCCTAATCCTACGACGGTTCTCCTGCCTCTTATCTCTCTCTCTCTCTGTGCCTGATCTCTACGCCGTCTCAGAGCTTCAAGTAGTTCGATTTCGTCTAAAGGTTCGATCAATTTCAATTTCTCTTTTCTCTATTTCAATCTGTGTGTTGTTTGTATTAGTTTAGCTTTAATAAAACTGATCTGATTTGGCGTATGAAAGCAAGTCCTTCCATTTTATAATCTAGCTAAAAACTCTAGTTCCCAAACAAGATCTAAATCTAGTTTCCATGGTTCTCAAAAAGCACATCAAAATGAAATTACATTTGCTAGTGAAGGCAGTTTATTTATATGTAAGTGGCATAATAGTTTTGGGATTTGTTGCTATGCTAGTTGCAACAGTATGGTTCTTGAACTATCGTTTGTTTGCCCTTTCTTCCCTGTATCACATGCTTGCTTTTTAAGCTGGAAAAATTATGTGTTGAGTTTCCTTTCCTATTTCTCCTTAGCACATTGTTTCTCATTTTTAAGTAGGTTGGTTTCTTTTTCAGGGACCCATACTCGAAGGGAGTTGATCCTGATGCATTGAAAACTTCTCTAGCTGCTGCATGTGGTATCTAAATTCTAAAATAATTCCTAAAAGCATAACAATTGCCATTCTATCTTTTAGTGTTTCTTTGAAAATGTTATATGCGTTTGATGAGCTTTACACTTAGTTATTTGATTTGGTTGGTTGGTCTTAGTCGCGGAAGGCCCAAGTCATATTCCTGGATTTAATAGTTGTCTTGTTGGCTGAGAATGCATGTGATCACTTGATGTTGCACAGGTCTTTCAAAATTGTTATTTATTTTTTGCCTTTTTATATAATCTCAAGTGGTATGGTTAAAAAAATAATGGTTGCCAATGAAGAAGTGGCAGTTGCTTCTTATCCTTGCTCCTATATGCCCCTGTATTTATTTCTTAATTCTTGTCAATACATCTGTGCACCTAGTAGACTAGTGTGATAGATAGATTGGGTGCTCTAGCATTCTCCAATAGCATGCTTTCTGGACAATTTTCTTTTGCCTGCTAGATATGGGCGCGATAGCACTCTCTAGAAGCTTCCACTATTGTGTTGCATTAACTTAATTTCATCTCTTCCTTGCTTCTAAGCCTCTCCAAAGCTCTTTAACACCACATTGATTGCCAAGTTATTCCTTACAATGAGATTTCCACAGAATTAAACATAAATTGAAGGAATTAACATCAAATGAATGCAACCTTGCCTATGTAAATCAACATAAATATGCGTTGTTCGGCATTCATGGTAAGCAGGCTTGCTTACTTGTACGTCTTTGTCCATATTGACACTAGTCAACTCATTGATTCTAATTTTGGGTTGTGATATCTGAAAAATGAAAAAGCTAGTCAAGCTTTTCTTCAATTGAACCTGTATTTTCTGTTGCTGTAACTATGTACCCTTTGTGAATCAATAAATTATTTATAATCACATCTGCTGTATTCTATCTGCATGTGCATACAGTATGTAGAAAGTCAATTGGGGAAGAAAGTAAACTCTTGTTTAGCTGTTCTCAAAAGTTTTTTTATGCCTTCTGTGACAGCTTCCATTTTTAGTTTTGGGATCTATGTTCATTCCTGCATGTTAGTGTTGCGTTTAAACTTACTTTACATTCAACAAAACAATGATGAGGTAGAAATTAACCTGCTTTAATGTGACGTGCAGGAGCGTTAACATCCAATAAGAAGCTAGAAGAATCAAGACATGAGAAGCCATCTGAAACAGAACCAGACCAACTTGCTGAGGATGTTAAGTCGGCTCCTTCTCCAGATGGGGAAGTGGGAACTGGAGGACAAACAAATGGAAAGAAGACTTTAATAGATGCAGTGAAGCCCAAGCATAAGAGAAAAAAGAAGTCATCCTCCCCAAGCAAAAAAAAATGAAAAAGAAAAAGAAAAAGACCCAAACACAACAAAAAATAAGGACAAGAAGGAAAAGAAAAAAAAAAGGAGAGCCATGCTATGGTAACTCCCTCTTATATTATGGTAAGATATATGTTTGTGGCTATGATTTTTTTTTTTTTTTTGGGACATGGTTGGATATTAATAAACTAGTATAATTATATTATCACACGAATATCATTTCATTAATTCAAATTTAAAATTTCACTACACTTACATCTAAATATCCTCTCATAACTACTTAAGCCATAACTTACATCTAGTTTGGGAATATCGTCTCACCACGTTGTTTATTTTAAGAACCGAGTTTGTTTCTAGTTCATAATGTAGATTAAAGGGTATTGTTTGGATTTGCAGGACTCATCACAGTTTTCATTTCGATAGTTTAAATCATTCATGGGATCCTTCATGTATATCATTCATAAACAACAAAATTAGAACAACTTGATAATCTCTAACTTATTCAATTTATTGAATTTGTTACCAAAAAAAATTAAGTCAATTTCATAATCGTAACATATATTTCTCCTTATTTTTTATTTTATTTTATTTTATTTTCCACCTCTCCTCTCCTTTTATTATCTCTTTCTGTTTTCATCTTTCAAGTTGAAACACTAAGGTTTTGTTTGAATTATAAATTTAAGTAAAGATTGGAAAAGGCAAATTAAAAAAAATGTAATTAAAATATGAATAAAATATAACTATTTTTCTATATCCCTACCCAAATACATAACCAAAACATAGTCTAACAATTAATTCATCATAGTTGTCAAATTGCCTTCGAACGCTTAGGCATTGAACTTGATCTTCTGCTCAAGCAACCAACAAAAAGTTAAACATTTATATAATTCTAAATTAATTTATAATAACTTTTATCTCAACTCTAATGATATGATTAATTACACTTTTTTTTCCTTCACTTTTTGTTTCTATATTTTTCGGCCACATATTCCACATATGTTTTTTCTATCGTTTCCAAAAGTTTTAATACAACTCAAAATAGACCATTCGACCAAGCAACAACTAAAACATATTAAAATAAAATATAAAAACAACCAAGCATATAGAAAATTATTAAATAAAATACACGTTTAATCCACAATTAATGGAGAAACAACAATTAAAATTGTTGTTAATGCTCCACTACAAAAATTTACACATTTGGCGACCACTTTTACCGACCAAAAAAATTTTGGTCGCAAAAAGATGACATTTGGCGACCAAATATTAATTAGTCGCGAATGATCATTATTTTTGGCGACCAAATATTATTGGTCGCAGAAGGTTATATTTTGGCGACCAAAAAATGAGTTGGTCGCAGAAAGTGGTATGCTTTTGCCGACCAACTACAAATTTGGTCGCGGAAGGTTACATATTTTTTAGCGACCAAAAATTTGGTCGCCAAAAACTTATTTTCAGCAACCAAAAAAAATTAGTCGCCAAATTAGTATTTTTAGCGACTAATATGTTAGTCGCCGTTGATTGAGATTTGGCGACTAAAAAAATTAGTCGTTATATATTTGAGATTTTGCCACAAGAAAGGAATTTAGTCGTTAAAGGCGAAATTTTTTTAGAGGGAAATCTCTCGCCCACCCCTGTTCTCTGTTTACAATTACACACAACATTTTGTTCAAATTCTCCTCCATCGCCAAACCTCACCCCATCGCAACAGATCGCCACATCTACATCGTCGATGATCCTCCTCCTTCTCCTCCGCCGAATCCGAGAAGATCGTCGAGATCTGAATCAGATTTGAGTCCTAGGCCGAGATCTGACCGTCATGAGCGATCCACAGCGACACAATGGCTTCCAAAGCCTACAAGAAGATCATCGATATCTACGACGACCTCATCCTTCAGGTACATACACTACTCCTCCTTCTATTCCATGATTGATCTCTCTTCTTATCAAACCCTAATCCTACGACGGTTCTCCTGCCTCTTATCTCTCTCTCTCTCTCTGTGCCTGATCTCTACGTCGTCTCAGAGCTTCAAGCAGTTCGATTTTGTCTAAAGGTTCGATCAATTTCAATTTCTCTTTTCTCTATTTCAATCTCTGTGTTGTTTGTATTGGTTTAGCTTTAATAAAACTGATCTGATTTGGCGTATGAAAGCAAGTCCTTCCATTTTATAATCTAGCTAAAAACTATAGTTCCCAAACAAGGTCTAAATCTAGTTTCCATGGTTCTCAAAAAGCACATCAAAATGAAATTACATTTGCTAGTGAAGGCAGCTTATTTATATGTAAGTGGCATAATAGTTTTGGGATTTGTTGCTATGCTAGTTGCAACAGTATGGTTCTTGAACTATCGTTTGTTGGCCCTTTCTTTCCTGTATCACATGCTTGCTTTTTAAGCTGGAAAATTATGTGTTGAATTTCCTTTCCTATTTCTCCTTAGCACATGGTTTCTCATTTTTAAGTAGGTTGGTTTCTTTTTCAGGGATCCATACTCGAAGGGAATTGATCCTGATGCATTGAAAACTTCTCTAGCTGCTGCATGTGGTATCTAAATTCTAAAATAATTCCTAAAAGCATAACAATTGCCATTCTATCTTTTAGTGTTTCTTTGAAAATGTTATATGCGTTTTGATGAGCTTTACACTTAGTTATTTGATTTGGTTGGTTGGTCTTAGTCGCGGAAGGCCCAAGTCATATTCCTGGATTTAATAGTTGTCTTGTTGGCTGAGAATGCATGTGATCACTTGATGTTGCACAGGTCTTTCAAAATTGTTATTTATTTTTTGCCTTTTTATATAATCTCAAGTGGTATGGTTAAAAAAATAATGGTTGCCAATGAAGAAGTGGCAGTTGCTTCTTATCCTTGCTCCTATATGCCCCTGTATTTATTTCTTAATTCTTGTCAATACATCTGTGCACCTAGTAGACTAGTGTGATAGATAGATTGGGTGCTCTAGCATTCTCCAATAGCATGCTTTCTGGACAATTTTCTTTTGGCTGCTAGATATGGGCGCGATAGCACTCTCTAGAAGCTTCCACCATTGTGCTGCATTAACTTAATTTCATCTCTTCCTTGCTTCTAAGCCTCTCCAAAGCTCTTTAACACCACGTTGATTGCCAAGTTATTCCTTACAATGAGATTTCCACAGAATTAAACATAAATTGAAGGAATTAACATCAAATGAATGCAACCTTGCCTATGTAAATCAACATAAATATGCGTTGTTCGGCATTCATGGTAAGCAGGCTTGCTTACTTGTACGTCTTTGTCCATATTGACACTAGTCAACTCATTGATTCTAATTTTGGGTTGTGATATCTGAAAAATGAAAAAGCTAGTCAAGCTTTTCTTCAATTGAACCTGTATTTTCTGTTGCTGTAACTATGTACCCTTTGTGAATCAATAAATTATTTATAATCACATCTGCTGTATTCTATCTGCATGTGCATACAGTATGTAGAAAGTCAATTGGGGAAGAAAGTAAACTCTTGTTTAGCTGTTCTCAAAAGTTTTTTTTATGCCTTCTGTGACAGCTTCCATTTTTAGTTTTGGGATCTATGTTCATTCCTGCATGTTAGTGTTGCGTTTAAACTTACTTTACATTCAACAAAACAATGATGAGGTAGAAATTAACCTGCTTTAATGTGACGTGCAGGAGCGTTAACATCCAATAAGAAGCTAGAAGAATCAAGACATGAGAAGCCATCTGAAACAGAACCAGACCAACTTGCTGAGGATGTTAAGTCGGCTCCTTCTCCAGATGGGGAAGTGGGAACTGGAGGACAAACAAATGGAAAGAAGACTTTAATAGATGCAGTGAAGCCCAAGCATAAGAGAAAAAAGAAGTCATCCTCCAACGTTGATGCAAGTTAGCTGAATGAAAAAATATATCTAGGTATGATACTGACTTTTTTATTTGTGCTAAAAATAATTTTCTTGCCATGCATCTCATAAGTGGATGAATCAACTGGTGAATCTCTGGAAACTGCTATTGATTGGTTGAACTAGTTCTTAATATAGGCTAATAGCCAATATAATTCTGATAACTATGGTGTTAAAAAGGAAGGGTATTTTCAAATTCTAAGACTAAACAAACATGGGACTTATTTTATGTGCAATCTGTTTATGTTTTATTGAGGTATTTTTGTCTTCGTCCGTATATTTTCTCAAGTCATCTTTAAGTGAGTCACGTGACAAACTGCTATGTTTTCGATGTACGTGAAGCTACCGAGAAATAGTTTGAATTGTGTACTATAAGTGACAAACTAATAGGAGATTAGTCATTGCTTGGTTAGAAACATTCATGGGCTTGCAAGTTAATTTAGTTGTTATTGTGGAGTATGCATGATTGATGTGGTTGAATTTGGACTGTAAACGAAACGGGCCAAGTAGTGGGCTACTCAAGCATGACTTGTTTTTAGTATAATCATTGTATAACCATTGACTTTGCAGACCTCTTTGGCCTAAGAAGACCTCTTTGGCCTGGGGACCTTAGATGTGGATATAAAAACCACCTTCTATTTAAATCTTATGTGGAATGCTGTGCTGAGTGCTGAACTATTCTGATGCAGATGGTGGCAACAATGACATCCAGTGGGAAATCTCTTTGCTACAATCTGCCAGTACTAGAAATATTGTCCCAGAATTTGTTAGCGCGTGCTCTGTACCTCTTTCCGACAAAGGTTCACAGGAATAGATCTCATGCGTTAATTTTATTGTATTATTCTTGGTGATGTGCCTTGGTTCTACTGAATAAAATTGAATTACAAAATGCCTTGGTTCTACACCTTTGCCTTTGTATCTATGAATGTAATGGTAGAAGGTCGTATCCAGTGCACAATACTTTTAAAGTTGCATGATTGCCTACTCTAGGTAGTTGATGTGAAATATTGAATGGTTGAGAATTATAGTTTGAATTCATTAACTGAATAAAATTTTTGAACAGTTTCATTGGTTAAGTGATACTACATTAGTTCTTTGTCCTTGTGCTTAATAGAGAGTATTACTTATTTACCTTGAAATCACTTGAGCACATAAGCACATTTTTGTGGCCCTAAAGCTTGAGATTGATATGCATGTTGTTGATACTTTGTAATGAACTAGATGACTGGCTGAATAAATAACCTTGACTTGATTGAAAAATAAATAAATAAATAAATAAATTTGAATAGTTTAGGTTTATAGTCTTTTTAACTCGAGTTACTTAGTCTTTTTAACTCGAGTTATTAAGCCCGTTAGGGTGTCTCTACAACGGGCTGAACTTTGGTTGCATTTTTAAGTCATTTGAGATACCTTTTTTTGTTGCCTATCCTTGATCTATGCAATCTTTTTTTGTTTCCTGCTTTAATAATAGGGAATATATTTTCGCAGAAAACATCATCGTGATATAGTTTGCCTTTGTTAATTGTGCAACTTTATTCTTGTAATAGACATGACAATAGAGAAGGATCTTCGTGAAATTACTTGTGGGCTCTTGTTATTTTTTTAATGGACAAATTGTATACCCATATTACAGTGTGGAACTTGTAATAATGGAGGTTGTAGGCAATCAAACTTTAGTGCTTTATTTTTGTTGTATACCCAAATTACTTTAGTGCTGTATACCCAAAGAATAGTTTGTGCAAATATGTGCAATGATAATTTTTGTTGCTGATTAAAAAAAAAGAGTGCAATACAAATTATTCTTTGTCTATTGGTGAATTCATTGATTGCTTTATTGTCCAATGTTTCTTCAAGTCTACCATACTATCTAAGCTTGACAACACGTAAAAATTCACGTAAGATCTCTTAATGAACATGAATCCTAGTTTGGTTCCACCATACTATAGAGAGGCTGATTCCCACGACTTAAATATCTTCAATCAATCAATTATTGGGCTTTTATATGTATGGATAGATTTTAGTCACGGTTTCCGAATGTTTCCATCTATTTCCAAGTTCCTTTTTTCGTTTCTTTCTATAGTCTTTTTGAAACATTAATGTTTCCATGCATACTGACATGACACTGGGTTGGAATTTTGATCCTTGCTGATTAGTTAGAAGGGAAGTTTCCCTTGGAACTTGCTTTATAGATTAATGATGTAAACTTTGTAGGTTAACACTTTCAGAGGATCCTGCTTTGGCGATGGCATTTTTAGTTGCACGGAGAGCTGCAGCTGTTCCCCTATTGCTTGTTAATGGAACATATATGAAAACTGTTCGTACTGCTCAAATTGTTTATTTTATTTATTTTTTCCATTTCCCTACACATCACAGGTATGTTTTTTTCGTACTGTTTTTGTGTTATTTCTTTTTCTAAGGGGTAAGGGTAGGGTTTCGTAAATTAGTGGTTACATTTAATGGTTGCTGGGTTGCTCGCATAACAAATTTAGTCTTAAATGTGACCTTCTAAGTTAGTGGACCTCTGACTTAGTGAAGTCATTTTGCTTCTTATCTCTCCCCTATTGCCCTGACGTTTCTCAACACCTGAGTACACTACTAGCAATAGATCAGGTGGTATGCTGTTCTCACATCCCTTGTTTGAAAATGTTATATGCGTTTTGATGAGCTTTACACTTAGTTATTTGATTTGGTTGGTTGGTCTTAGTCGCGGAAGGCCCAAGTCATATTCCTGGATTTAATAGTTGTCTTGTTGGCTGAGAATGCATGTGATCACTTGATGTTGCACAGGTCTTTCAAAATTGTTATTTATTTTTTGCCTTTTTATATAATCTCAAGTGGTATGGTTAAAAAAATAATGGTTGCCAATGAAGAAGTGGCAGTTGCTTCTTATCCTTGCTCCTATATGCCCCTGTATTTATTTCTTAATTCTTGTCAATACATCTGTGCACCTAGTAGACTAGTGTGATAGATAGATTGGGTGCTCTAGCATTCTCCAATAGCATGCTTTCTGGACAATTTTCTTTTGGCTGCTAGATATGGGCGCGATAGCACTCTCTAGAAGCTTCCACCATTGTGCTGCATTAACTTAATTTCATCTCTTCCTTGCTTCTAAGCCTCTCCAAAGCTCTTTAACACCACGTTGATTGCCAAGTTATTCCTTACAATGAGATTTCCACAGAATTAAACATAAATTGAAGGAATTAACATCAAATGAATGCAACCTTGCCTATGTAAATCAACATAAATATGCGTTGTTCGGCATTCATGGTAAGCAGGCTTGCTTACTTGTACGTCTTTGTCCATATTGACACTAGTCAACTCATTGATTCTAATTTTGGGTTGTGATATCTGAAAAATTAAAAAGCTAGTCAAGCTTTTCTTCAATTGAACCTGTATTTTCTGTTGCTGTAACTATGTACCCTTTGTGAATCAATAAATTATTTATAATCACATCTGCTATATTCTATCCGCATGTGCATACAGTATGTAGAAAGTCAATTGGGGAAGAAAGTAAACTCTTGTTTAGCTGTTCTCAAAAGTTTTTTTTATGCCTTCTGTGACAGCTTCCATTTTTAGTTTTGGGATCTATGTTCATTCCTGCATGTTAGTGTTGCGTTTAAACTTACTTTACATTCAACAAAACAATGATGAGGTAGAAATTAACCTGCTTTAATGTGACGTGCAGGAGCGTTAACATCCAATAAGAAGCTAGAAGAATCAAGACATGAGAAGCCATCTGAAACAGAACCAGACCAACTTGCTGAGGATGTTAAGTCGGCTCCTTCTCCAGATGGGGAAGTGGGAACTGGAGGACAAACAAATGGAAAGAAGACTTTAATAGATGCAGTGAAGCCCAAGCATAAGAGAAAAAAGAAGTCATCCTCCAACGTTGATGCAAGTTAGCTGAATGAAAAAATATATCTAGGTATGATACTGACTTTTTTATTTGTGCTAAAAATAATTTTCTTGCCATGCATCTCATAAGTGGATGAATCAACTGGTGAATCTCTGGAAACTGCTATTGATTGGTTGAACTAGTTCTTAATATAGGCTAATAGCCAATATAATTCTGATAACTATGGTGTTAAAAAGGAAGGGTATTTTCAAATTCTAAGACTAAACAAACATGGGACTTATTTTATGTGCAATCTGTTTATGTTTTATTGAGGTATTTTTGTCTTCGTCCGTATATTTTCTCAAGTCATCTTTAAGTGAGTCACGTGACAAACTGCTATGTTTTCGATGTACGTGAAGCTACCGAGAAATAGTTTGACTTGTGTACTATAAGTGACAAACTAATAGGAGATTAGTCATTGCTTGGTTAGAAACATTCATGGGCTTGCAAGTTAATTTAGTTGTTATTGTGGAGTATGCATGATTGACGTGGTTGAATTTGGACTGTAAACGAAACGGGCCAAGTAGTGGGCCACTCAAGCATGACTTGTTTTTAGTATAATCATTGTATAACCATTGACTTTGCAGACCTCTTTGGCCTAAGAAGACCTCTTTGGCCTGGGGACCTTAGATGTGGATATAAAAACCACCTTCTATTTAAATCTTATGTGGAATGCTGTGCTGAGTGCTGGACTATTCTGATGCAGATGGTGGCAACAATGACATCCAGTGGGAAATCTCTTTGCTACAATCTGCCAGTACTAGAAGTATTGTCCCAGAATTTGTTAGCGTGTGCTCTGTACCTCTTTCCGACAAAGGTTCACAGGAATAGATCTCATGCGTTAATTTTATTGTATTATTCTTGGTGATGTGCCTTGGTTCTACTGAATAAAATTGAATTACAAAATGCCTTGGTTCTACACCTTTGCCTTTGTATCTATGAATGTAATGGTAGAAGGTCGTATCCAGTGCACAAAGCTCCTGTTTACATTTGGGTCTGAGGGATGGTAAATAGATTTCCCTCCACTTTATTACTATTTTTTTCTTAATGGAGAGGCTGATCCCCATGACTTAAATATCTTCAATCAATCAATTATTGGGCTTTTATATGTATGGATAGATTTTAGTCACGGTTTCCGAATGTTTCCATCTATTTCCAAGTTCCTTTTTTCGTTTCTTTCTATAGTCTTTTTGAAACATTAATGTTTCCATGCATACTGACATGACACTGGGTTGGAATTTTGATCCTTGCTGATTAGTTAGAAGGGAAGTTTCCCTTGGAACTTGCTTTATAGATTAATGATGTAAACTTTGTAGGTTAACACTTTCAGAGGATCCTGCTTTGGCGATGGCATTTTCAGTTGCACGGAGAGCTGCAGCTGTTCCCCTATTGCTTGTTAATGGAACATATATGAAAACTGTTCGTTCCTATCTTGATTCTACTATTCTCCAGCATCAATTGCAGAGGCTGAACGATCATGGTTCTCTTAAAGGTTTTCTACTGCTCAAATTGTTTATTTTATTTATTTTTTTCCATTTCCCTGCACATCACAGGTATGTTTTTTTCGTACTGTTTTTGTGTTATTTCTTTTTCTAAGGGGTAAGGGTAGGGTTTCGTAAATTAGTGGTTACATTTAATGGTTGCTGGGTTGCTCGCATAACAAATTTAGTCTTAAATGTGACCTTCTAAGTTAGTGGACCTCTGACTTAGTGAAGTCATTTTGCTTCTTATCTCTTCCCTATTGCCCTGACGTTTCTCAACACCTGAGTACACTACTAGCAATAGATCAGGTGGTATGCTGTTTTCACATCCCTTAAATGTATAGTTTTCTTTTTAACTTATTAAAAAAAAAGAAAAAGAAAAAAGAAGCCTTTTAGGATGTGGGCAAGTAATTTTGGTCCACAATTTTGTCTGAAGTTGCACCTGGTTCTAGGTCTCTACAAAACCTAACCTGGGATCAGTATAAAGTAATGAAATGAGAAGGAAGAAAAAAACTTGGATTTCACCCAACTTACCAGAAGCCTTTTGGTTTATACTAGTCTCCAAAAAAAAAAAAAAAATATTCCATTAATCAAAATTTCATTTGGAACATCTACTTCAGAGCAGAATTCTGCAGACAAAATATTTTATAAATTAAGTAATAAATTGTCAATGCTTACAAGTTGAAGTCATGATCAATATATAGGTTTTCCCCAACTCTTTGAGCTTCCCTTCTGTTATTTTTAACTTAGTTTGTATCTTGAAAAAGAAATAGTGCGTGGAGGTTTTGATTGCAACAACTTATTGAGTTCTGGCTTAACCTAGCACAATATCAAAGTCAATCTGTTGATTTGAATTTTCACAATTCTAGACACAGTGGTAATTCCATTAGTAAACAATTGCAAATTATTCGTTAATTTTTAAATCCATCCCAGCTAAAATCTTGAGTATCCTTTCTTTTAGATTGAAGATGATCACGAGCATTCTTTGAGGCAGAATCCCGCTACTTATACACAAGTAGTCAACTCTGCAGCAAGAGGGTGGTACTGGTTTGTTCTCAACTTGACTACGTTGAATCGCTCAGGTGTGATTTAAAATAGGGAAACTTACTGATAAGTCCCATGTACACGGTGACAGAAAAATGTAGAAAAAAAAACGAGAGAGGAAGGGAAGCAAAAAGCAGAGAGAGAGAGGAAAGGACTTTTGGGTGTAGTGAAAAAGTTATGGGATTAAATGGAGATCACATGTTTCCCATGGGACCTATGGGTAATTTCCCCTTTAAAATATGGCCAAGAATGTGTCTGGCCCAAAGGCCAGTATTTCCTTATTAAAATACACGTAGCCCCAACTTGGACTGCTTCCTAAGAGCATGACAAGTTATTGCTGTGCGGAAAACTTGCTGTCAATTTTACTTCTCTTGATATTTGCTTTCACTTCTACTTTCCAGTCAAAGTATTGGATTTTGCAACCCAGGCATGTATAAGACTGCGCCTTCTGATGTATTTTTTTTTTCCTTTCTATGATTTCATCTCGACTTAAAAGAGCCCCATTTCGCTTAAGTAAATAATTGTCTCCTTGCAAAAAATATATACTTCCAAATTGAAGTCCATTTTTTGGTTACTTGGTTTCAGGATGGGAACTATATTCAGTCATCTTGCAATGCCTCTGTCAATGGTCCTAAAGCAGATGATCCCATCTATGCACTGCTGGGGGTTTTTTGGCCAATGCTTGAAAATCTTTTTAGGGCAGAACACATGATAAATGGAAGTTTATCAATGGCAGCTTGTAGGGCTCTTTCGCAAGCAATTCATTCCTTGGGTATTGGTGGCTTCTATTTTCTAATTTCTTTTTAATATTAAGGGTTGATTTCTTGCTAAACCTGTAACGTGTTGAGCACTTCCTTTTCATGCAATTTGAATTTGTCTTATTTGCAGGCCAACACTTTGTAACACTATTGCCCAAAGTATTAGAATGCCTCTCCACAAATTTTGTGTCATTCCAAAGTCATGATTGCTACATTAGAACAGGTGAGCTGTTTTCATCAAACAGAGGACCATGTGATGGGAATCGGTGGTAGTGGTATCTTTAGTTTTAATCAATGTTTTTAGATGTTATCATCATACTTGTTTATCATTTATGTTTTTGGAATATGAATCATTCTTAGGACCTAGTTTTCTTTATAGGCATGGCACAAGTTATATGGATATATTGGGATTTGCAAGCTTAACTGTGACACCCCTGTTCCGTAGTATGTTAATTGGTCCTTAACATGATGTGATTATGTATGTTGATATGATTTTGTGTTCCACTATGTGAAAATATGTGGTTTGAAATTTTATCTGTTCATCGTAGGAATATCTGAGTTATATGGATAAGTTGGGATTTGTAAGCTTAACTGTCTGGAGCATGAAAACATGGAAGGCTATGGTATGCCTTGTTTGTCCCACAAATTGTACATTACTGTAGGAAGTCAATTTGTCTGACTGACAGCTATTATGTCTTAATATTTCTCAACTTTATTGAAGACGGTCCTTCCCCTTGGTGAAGATCCTCCGGCAATTACTTCCTTATGCTTCAACCATAACGGGAAGATTTTAGCAGCTGCTACAACTGATGGAATGATTCATATGTTCGGTATCCTTATAGTATTTTATATTTATGTATGAATGGTTATTATATTTCTAAAATTAAGTGTTACACATTTTGCTTTTGAGGCTCAAACGTGTTGCTTTTACTTCTTTGGTACACCAAGTAAAAAAACATGAAAATGGAATCATTTTCTTTCTTTTTGGGGCTTCAGAGCTGGGGGGAGGGAGGGGGGATTAAACATTTCTACTTTGAAAGAAAACTTGTCCCCAATCTCATGCTGCACACAAGACATGCGCAACAAATGTATACATCTTAATTTGGCAAAGATATGTCTGTCGGACTACAAATTACTGGGTGGCCGGCTCATGATTCTGCTATTAGCTCTGTTCTTTTTGGGCCTGATGAGACAAGTATTTTTAGCTTGGGGATAGATGGAAAGGCAAGTGCCTCTGTTTCCTCTGATTTTTAGCTTAAGTTAGGGTCATGCATAAAAAGCACTTTCTACCTTATTCTTTTAAATTTTGTTATTTGTTTTAGCTAGCTTGTTGGATTATATTCTTATGCTTAGCCATATATGTGTAATCTCACCAAATTAGCTTCTACTTCAGATATTTGAATGGAGCTTGCAAAACCAAGGTAAAATTCTTTGGTCAAGAAATTGCAGCAGGTACTTGAATTGCTTAACCCTTCAATGTTATGGTAACCTTATCGTTTATTTAGGCTTACTATTAGTTGAAATTTTAATAGAGTCAAGATTGATGGAAGGTGTGGTTTTAATTCTTAAGTGAAGCCCATTGTCAAATCTGTACCTTTTGTTTTTTGGGACAGTCATATTGTGAAAGTACAGAAACAACCCTGCCACTTATATCTTGCTGCATGTGACTCTTTCAATACATATATGAGTATGAATAAGGAGCTTTGGTAACCTGAGTCTATTCCATTATGTAGGTTCTGTAATCGTGATAACTCTGAACATAGACATGAAATGGCTTTAGATGCTAATGGGAAGAGACTGCTGGCAACATCTGGTTCAGTGAGAGCACCCATCTATCAGGTAAATCTTGATTTCCCATTACATCTCTCTCTCCTATCTCTAAAATCAATGGTTGTTAGAATCTTGCGATTCACAATTCGATTTATACAATTCGATACGAGTTTTATCCAAAACAATCCGATTTGAGTTGTTGAATCTCAAATTAAGTAAATCATACGATTTCATTGGTGCGGTTACACAACGGCCACATTAGTCAATCGTGACAGAATATCTACGAAGGTAAAGACATTTTTTAGTTCCTAATGCATTGTCCCGCAGTGTTGATGGCTGTGCCACTGCCATCCTTCTCACATGGGTTGATACTGCAACGAGAGAGGGGTTGCTGGACGCAGTCAAAATTGTTGTGAATTTAGCAATTTGCTTCCTGAATTATTTTATTATTTGAACTACTTCTATCTAAAGCAAGTAATGGAAGGCTAACTTTGCACAAATCCTGATTTTGTGGAACAGGGGTAGTCTATACCGCCTCATCCATAGGGCAGATGCTGGTGAAGTTTACCTTGTTGACGCGTACGACAAAGAGAGATTTGCAGAGGCCAGAAAGGAGTTGGATGCCCTACATAAAAAAGAACAACAATACTCAACCTTGTTAACACCAGATGTTCTTTTTTTTTAAATTGATGCTGATTATGTTAAATTTTTGTTGGAATGAATTGTTTTTTGGTTTTTGGGGTTTAGAATAGGGTTTTGTGAATCGTTCCTTGTTTTTGGAATCAATGTTGCTGCTACTGAGTTATGTGTTGAAACTTGGATATAGAAAATTTTATAATAAAACCTGTTTTGATTATGAATTCGTCCTGTTTTGATTATGAATTCGCTAAATATACAGGTGTATTATTTTCTTGCTTTGGCGACCAATTTATTAGTCGCGGCATCCAAAATAAATTTTTTTCACAAAAAATGATAATTGCCGACCAAGAGTTTTGGTCGCAAAAAATACATCTATTGCCGACCAAAACAGCTCTTGGTCGTGGAAACTCACTTTTGCCGACCAAAAGTTTTGGTCGCGAAAAGTAACAAATGGCGACCAAATTTTTTGATCGTGGAATGTCACAATTGGCGACCAAATTTTTTGGTCGTTGAATGTGATAATTGGCGACCAAACTTTTTGGTCGCGAAATGTGACAATTGGCGACTAAGAAATTTGGTCGGGAAAATATCACTTTTCGCGACCAAAGTGTTTTAGCGACAAAATAAATTAGTCGCGGCAATTAAATATTTAGCGACCAAAAATTTAGTCGGCAAATCCAACTTTTGCCGACCAACGAAAATTTTGGTCGCGAATTACTTTTGCCGACCCTCAATTGGCGACCAAACTAGCGACCAAAAATTTTGGTCGCGGATAACTTTTGCCGACCAAAAATAGACTTTTAGCGACCAATTTTTTTGTTGCTAAAAGTGTTAATTCTTGTAGTGAACCATGCAAGATTTTTCATCATTTTTTTTTTACTTTCTATTTTTTTTGTTTTGTTTTCTGCTCTAATTTTTGCCAGGGTCGCCTTTCTAGGTTTTCAGCCCAGCAAGCCTCTCAAGGGTGGTACTTTCGTTTTAGCTTGTCCATGCTGATTGGTTGTGAGATCTCTGGGCCATCTAAATCAATAAGAATGACTACTACACTTGACTAGATACATATGATGATGTAGGGACTAGGCTAATTGGGTCTAAATTTGCCCCTAGTGTCATGGATAGGAACTTAACTGTCCTTCAGTAATAAAACTCATTTTCTCATATTCTGGGATTTGACTTCTTTTCTGGTCTTCATGAGCTTGAGAAACGATCCGTTTGAATCTTTGTCACATTCGACCTTATTGCCCCTAATTCAAGGGTTGCTTCCAATCTGAATTACATCCAACCTTATTGCCCCTAGTTCAAGGGCTACCTCCATTTCGGCTATACAAGCCTTATATTTTGGTTGATTATTGAACATTCTGAATCAAGGTTTGAAAGCTAAAGAGGTCAGACCTCAAGTCGAGAGGGATCCTATGTTGTACAATCTCAAGATCAATTCCGGGTATGTCTTCATAGGACCATGCAAAAATATTTTTTGAAATCTTTTAACAAAGTGACTAATCGCTCGTGCTCTTACGAAGACAATATAGAACCAATCTGGACCAAACCAAGATCCTTCTCAGTACCCACATTAACAAAAATGATCTCATTTATCAAGGGCTTAGCATACCTTTCTTCCTCTTAGTCGATTAAAATTTGCAAATCCCGAGGAATTTCTTTCTCTTCATTTTGTGGATGACATGATTGTCAAGTCCAAAGAAAGAGAAGGCCACTACACCGCCTTACAAAAATTCTTCCAAAGGATCAGAGAGTTTCGGCTGCGGTTGAATCCCCAGAAGTGTACTTTTGGTGTTACAGCAGGGAAGATGCTAGGGTTTCTAATTACGCAAAGGGGCATCGAGATCGACCCTTCTAAAATCAAGGCCATCTTAGAAATGCCACCACCGAGGACTGAAAAGGAGGTGCGAGGCTTTCTGGGTAAAGTGCAATTCATAAGACGGTTTATCTCTAAATTAACCTTGACTTGTGAACCACTTTTTGGTCTCCTGAAGAAAGGAAAGAAATTCCAATGGGACGGCCGATGTCAAGCAGCTTTTGAGCAGATCAATTAGCTAATCTTACTATGTGAAAACATTATCAATTTAGCAACGGTGTTTATTTTTGTGAAAACTGGTATGTAATTTTTTTGAAAAAAATTACACAAACAGATTATGAAAAATCAACCAAACAGAGGCTGGGAGTATCAATTTTGCCTTTAAATATTTTATATTGCGTAAATTTAATCCAATTAATAAGATCTCGTTAGAAATTTAATTGAAATTAATTGACATATATAAACTCTTTTAAAAGTTAACGAGAAATTGATGTCTAATTTAAATGGATATATTTGTTTTTTCTAATTTATCAGCGAATGTTTATCAACTAAACTAAATCAACACAATATAAAATATTATAAGAAAAAATTAATACAATAGGAAGTACAAGACTAAATTGATATAACTGACAAAGTTAATTTGATTTTTTAAATTTTTTATTACGGTGAATACCATCCATAGAGTTGTTACACTAGTTGCAAATCACTGCAATAAGTTATGTTGTCTATTTTGCACTGATTTACTCTAATTGACTCGGTATACTTTTTCTTCGTGATTGCCTAGAAATATTTCACAATTGACACTTTATATATGAATTTTGAATACATAAAAGCTTTTTTCCAATAGGCAAGCTAGCCATGGCTTTCTCGCAAGGAATGCAATTGCAACTACAACCCATCATCATGATTCTAGTACTAGTACAAGTAGTGGTGGTGGTGATATTTTCATTATCAGCAGCAACAAAAGCAGCACCACCAACAGAAGCAGATTTGAAGAATCATGGCTGCATGAGCCGTTGTGGGAATTTAAACATCCCATACCCATTCGGCGTGAAAGAGAATTGTTATCGCAGCGAAGATTTCTTCATTAATTGTAGTGATTCCGAGCCATATTTACGGCATAGTGATATCACTATTTCAAATATATCGCTTGAGGAGGGTGAGTAACGTGAGTTACGCATCATGAATAACATATCTCGTGATTGTTATGATGGGCAGCATGGTACAGCATTACAAAACAACTTTCCTTCATGGCTCCACCTTGTCAAGTTCTCCATATCTAGTACCAAGAACAAGTTCACTGCTATTGGTTGTGACACATATGCGTATCTCCAAATTTTTAAAAACGGGAGTTCCGTTCCCCTCTTTGCAACTGGGTGTGTGTCAGCATGTACCAGCATCGACTACGTTCCTAATGATGGATCTTGCTCTGGAATTGGTTGCTGCCAGACCTCCATCCCAAAACAACTGAGCTATATCAGAATTGCTGCGCATAGCTTCTGGAATCATACAAATGTATCGCACTTCAATCCCTGCAGCTATGCTTTTGTTGTTGAAGAAAGTACGTTTAATTTCTCCACAACTTACCTTCAAGATTTTAAGGAAACCAAGGTGCCGTTGGTGCTTGCATGGGGAATAGGGGATAATAAGACATGCGATGATGCAAGAAATTTGACAAGTTATGCATGCGGAAATCATAGTGATTGTTCTGAAGCAGTAAATGATCATGGGTATTTGTGCAAGTGTTCTGAAGGTTACCAAGGGAACGCGTACCTCTCAGATGGTTGCAAAGGTTAGTAGTATCCATTTAGCTAGCTTCATATTCATCATGCTCGGATTCAATTGCTTTTGATTCTATATATATTGCTTTTGTAATGCTTTAATTCCATTATTGAGCCCTCCCTCCTCTGATTTGATTGTTTTGCGGACATAGAGGAGTGTGTAGATCCAAATCTCAACCAGTGTGTAGAGGAAAGCAAATGCTTAAACACGCCTGGGAATTATACGTGCTCTTGCCTGTAGACACCCCATTTTTGACCGTCCTCAAGACTTGGACGTCATCATTTGAACACTCGATGATCACCCTTGTTCGTGTTCGTCTTGAGTTCCCGGAGGTCTCGGCTACGCGCCCTGCCTCAGGATCTCTCTACTCGACTGGTTTTGTGTCTGGTTTTGCGCCAAACACTTGTTGTTTTGCTTCTTAGGGTGGGAAATAGCTTGTAGGCCATCCCCACACCTCACCGACCGTGGCTTGAGGCCACCGGCCTTGTTTCCTTGCCACCGGCCATTGGTGATGGCCGGTCGGCACTCTTGATGGTCGGTCGGCATTATGTTTGGTCAGCCGGCCACTGTTTTGATCAATCGGCCACTTGTCCTGACCGAGACTTTTCTTGAGGGAGCTTGACCCTTTTGAACCTTCTTTTTAGCTTCTCCAAGAAGCTTGACCCTTTTTTTAGCTTCTCCAAGAAGCTTGAGCCTTTTGACCCTTTTAAAGCTTCTCCAAGAAGCTTGACCCTTTTGAACCTTTGTTTAGCTTCTCTAAGAAGCTTGAACCTTTTGACCCTTTTGCCTAGCTTCTCCAAGAAGCTTGACCCTTTTTTTTAGCTTCTCCAAGAAGCTTGAACCTCTTGACCCTTTTTGCCTAGCTTCTCCAAGAAGCTTGGCCCTTTTGGTCAAAGCTTCTAAGAGAAGCTTTGCCCCATTGGTTTCTCTATATAAGGAGAGTCTCTCCTCCCTTTTTAAGGGTTAGAAAATCTGATATATATCACATATATATCACTCCCTCTCTATATCTCCCTCTCTCTCTACATTTGGGTGGGTTAGAGGGTCCAAAACGGCCTTGTTCTTGGCCTATTGCACACCACTTCATAGCCACACACTTCCATCATCACTTGGAGGTTCTTGGAGCTTGTTTTCAGAGGTTGAGGACTGGTTTTTGAGACCTAAAGGCTGCTAGTTCTTGCTGGTCTTCAAAGGTAACTTCTTACCCTCTTTATTCCCCGTTTTTGCACCCCCTTTTAACCTGTCTTTCTTTCGGATTTGGGATTTGTGTATAATATAAAAAAGTTCTATTTTTTGTGTTTAAAATACTTCATTGAGACTACTTTTGTGTTTGGGGTCGTTTACCCCCTCTTAGGCCTTGTTTGGCCCCATTTTGTGCTATTTTTGGTGAGTTTCGGGACCACCTTGTTTGGGCCTCCTCACCACTGAAATCTTGAGGGATTTCAGTGGTGAGGATGGTGGTTTAGGGTCCTAAGAAGGAGAGGGCCATCCCCTCTCCTTGTTGTCTTCAAAAAATGCCATTTTAGCCTCATGTGTGAGCACTATTTTTGAGTTCATGTTGGCCATGTCTTAAGTGTTATTTGTGCTTATTTTGCCATGATATAGCACTGTTTTTAATTGGTTTAGACACACCATGCTTTCTTT